CCCCATCATGTTCCCAGCCTCCTTCCTGGGCGGCTCTCTCCTCCAGCTTCTCAGTCTTACAGAAAGAAAAAGGCATGAATCTGGAATTGAGGTGACTACCCCCCAAGATTCCAAGTCAACCCTGGAGGACTTCAACTTTCCTTCCCACACCTCTGAAAAGCACCAGCAGGCCTCAGGAGAGCAGACAGCTGGTGTTTTTGAGATCATCCAGAGGATTTCCAACTTGCTCCACTTGGGAGCTGCTGAGCTGTTGTGTAGGGAGTGTGCGGGCGTTGGGGGCTCCCGGCCAGGCCTTCAGGGACACCGAGGCAGCAGTCTCAGCCCTCACCCTCCTTCCAACCAAGCAGCACCCGAAGAGCCTGGCCTCATGCCACCATTCTGTGGTGAAAGTGGAACTTATAAAATGTGCAATTTGTTGTAATTCCAATTCTTCTGTTGCAATGGTGCCTCTGAGACTTCTACAGCTGAGGGGAAGAGAGGGGTGCTGCCTGGCCACCTGTTCAGAGTCCAAGCCTGCGAGCTCCTCAGCCGCCTGTCTGCCCCCACACCTCACCAGAGGCCACACACAGCTCCAGCATGATGGACTCAATGTTTCCCTTTTTATTCTGAAACTTTCTCACAGGACACCCATTCCAACTTTTTCTATTGGCTGGGAACAGTTCCTCCAGGGCTGACCTGCCCTGATCAGAGCTGTCAGTCCTCCAGGCAACTGGATACTGGCGTGAAGGCAAGGAACTTCCATGTGGCTCACGAGGTCCCAGGGTGCCAGACAGCAGCTGGTCCCACCCCACGGCACTTGGCCGCCTGTGTGGAGCTTGCAGTGCTGTGTGGAAGCTGTGGGCTGCCCTGGTCACCGATGGGGCAGAGAATGTGTGCTGCCCACAGCCCCAGCACCAGCCCAGACGCTGCCTCAACTGCTGTGACTGAGGTCAGAAGAGAGCTGGGAGGATGGCTGGGCAGTGTCCCAAGAAGGAACAGGCTCTGGGGAATCATGGCCGCCCTGGCTGCAAGGTTGCCAGGTCAGATTGCAGCTGGGTGCTCCCCAGCCTGGCCAGCCCCTCCCTTCAGAAAACCTCAGATTACACTTGTTTCTCTCCAAAACCCAAAGGTCTAGACTGTCTTTGACCCTGTAGTGTTCATCTGGGGTTCCAAAGCGAAGGCTCCATGGCTTAGAGTGGCCTCAGAGCTCATTGTGTATACCATGGCTGACCCCACCCCACCTTGCAGACCAGCCCCGAGTCCAAGTGCCCAGGGCTGAGCCAGCACCCACCTTCTATGCTGGTGCTACAAATTCCCACCCTGGAGAAGTCCCCAGGCCTGGAGCCTGCCTGGCCCACTGGCTGGGTGCAGAGCACCTCCATGAAACTGGATCCTGAGAATCAGGCCATGGGCCAACACCTGGGGCCCCAGAGCCCCTGGGCAGAAGCCTGACTGCAGGTTGGCTGACAGGAACACCAAGATCATCCCACACATAGGGAAACTGAAGATCTAGGGAGAAGCAACCTGCCCAGGTTGGTGCTGAGCTGCCCTTGACCAACGCCTCTTCACTGGGTCCTTACTGTGCATTGAGGCCCCAGCCCCTACAGCAGAAATCAGCCTGTCTACTGCGGGAGGACAAGCGAGTGTGGGGGCCCATGGGAGCCCTGGGAGCCACCTGCGTTATAGGAGGCATGTGAGCTGTGTGAGTGCCATGTGAGATACACACTCACGTGAACCACGTGAACCCAGGATGGCTGCAGGGAGTGGCAGCAGGCCCACAGGGGTGTGAGGGCCTCACCTGTCCCCACAGATGCCCCCTCTTCCCTCTCCTGCCCACGTAAATCATCAGTAATTGATGCCACACATGTTGTCAGGCAGCAAGAAATCCTCCTGGGAAGTGGATATTCTGCAGGAACAACAGTAGTTAGCGAAATCCAGACTTCACTTGAAAAGAAAAGACAGGCCCAGTCCAGACTCTTTGGTGAAATGCAGCCTCCTCAAGTGCATGACGGGTCCCTGGAGAGGAGGTGACACAGCTAGGTCCCAATACCCACTGCCTCAGGCCGACCTCTGCATGCCAGGGGCCCTGGGTATGGAGGGCCCACGCTGACCAAGGGACTGCAAGGAGGCCTGCAGAAAGCCAGCCTTCCAAAGGAAACCCACAGTTGCTCAGTCCGTGGTTTTAAGTAACAAATTGGAGTCAAAAGACCAACTCACGCTAATGTAACTACTGATGGGGTTTTGTACTTTGGCAAAGCTTTATGTCTTTGATCAAAACCCTCCACAGACACAAAACCAACGAGACAGGCCGGCCTCTCATGCCCCCATGCATTCTGCAGCCCTCCCCCAGACCCCACTTCCCTCCTGCACTGTCATCCCTCTCTGCATTGTTCATCTTCTTGTGGATCCCGAGCACGAAGGACAAGGTGGCTATCCCACTCCCCATTGCCATCATGCAGGGGGGTGCTTCTGACATCTGCCACATACAGCCTGCAGAGGTGTCCCCAGATGCGATCCCAGGACCAGAGATGGGTTAGCCGGCACAGGGCTGTGCAGCACCAGGCCTGTGGGAAGACTTAACCTACTGCTCCCAGAGCTTCCTGGGGTTGATTTGGCATCTCTGGGATCTGCAGTGTCCCCACACCCAAATGACCAGCTCCATAAAGAGCTGCATCTGGGACCCAGAGCCAGAGGAAAGAACAAGCACGCCGCAGCACTAGGTGCTCAGGGTGAGGGAGAGTGCCTGGCTCTCCCTGCTCCCACGTCTCCTCCGGCCTCTACGAGCGACACCCAGAGGGGCCCTGAGCATGGTCCGTGCTCCAGGACTGCTGTTGAGTGTCGAGTCACAGCCCCTCGCTTCTCAGCCTCAGTTTCCCCATCAACAAAAGGACCTCATTAGATAGGAACAGAGTCTCTCTCACCTCCGACATCCCATGAAGTCGTCAACCGAGCATGACTAAGTGTAGCGTGAGCCCCCCAAGTTTGCACAGCCACCAGGAGCAGTGCTGGGTGCTCCCCAGGTCCTGTGAGACCCTGTGCAAGGTACAATCGTGAGCCTGTTTTACAGATAAATATGTGTGAGGGTTTCACTCAGATCCACAGGCCGCAGAGAAGGCAGGGGACAGAATCCCGCGTTACACATACTCTCACACAAGTGACTGCTCACATGTGTACTCGCACATGAAACTCATGCACTCACACATGCTCACACTCACAAAGTCACATATGATCACTCACACACATACATCCGCAAACTCATGCTCTCTCTCACACATCATTCATGTACTTGCACATGCATAAGCACATCACGTATACACACTCAGCGTGTGTTTTCTCACACCTTCACAAACATATACCTTCACACGCATGCATACTATATTCTATCCCAGGTGGCATCTGTGCGCTGCACCCAGCTGCCCCACTGAGTCCCTCATGCCCCACCTTCTCTGTGAAGGAAGTCACACCCTGCCCCCTCACCAGGCTGGGTTCA